TCGGTACCCCACGCTCAAAACATTTCGCTGGCAATCTCCCGCTATAATACGAAATGCCTAGGTCCATCAGTAGCTGCCTTGAAGGTCATATTCTATACATCTAGAGAAGAAATCGCAAATTCTGAGCATTTATTGTTGTTTAAATAATAGTTTGAGGTGTGCCGACACCCCCGCGCGCTTTCGCGTTACTATTTTTCAGTGTGAGCCATGGCGTGTACAAGTCGCTCTGTTGGGGCTTTTCCTCATTTGACATATGATCAAGAAATGAAAAGACTTCACAAATTATTAGAGGGGGTATGAAGTAGTATGAAGATTCTATAGCAGAAGAATTAGAAGATTCAGATAATGAAGATATATTTAGTGATCATGAGCCTGAATCAGAAGAAGAGTGCGACTCTTCAGAAGACATTTTTTTTGTGATCAAACTGATTATTTTACAGGAAAGGATATAAATTAGCTAGAATAAGAGATTTATTTGAAAATTTTCTCAAGAACTGACAGAACTTATATCATATAGGGGAATACGTGACTTTGGACGGAAAGCTAGAGCCTTTTCGAGGAGGAAGCTCCTTTCGGCAGTATATACCTAAGAAACCTGCAAGATATGGTATAAAGATATTTGTTATGGTTGATTCTAGAACCTTCTATGCTTTCAACAAGGAAATTCAAGCATATCAGCAGCCAGATGGGCCGTACAAGAAAGTCAGCAGTTCTAGTGAAATAGCAAAGCCTATCCTAGCTCCATTATACAAATCTGGAAGAAACGTTACCACAGACAGTTGGTATACCAGTTATGAATTGGCCAATTTCTCACAGAAAATGATTTGATGAACCACAAAAAGAAAAAATATATAATACAGGAGATGTTACATGTGCTCAAGAGAAAAAGACAGAAAATCAAAAACTATATGTGTGAAGTATAAAAAACATATGTCAAGAACACTGCGAAATAGATGCTTCATATGTATATTGGAAAATATCTAATGCTTCTTGGGCCTAATTGATTTCAATATTAATTATATAGCTCGTTGTTCATGTAATAATTCTGCATGATTTGGATCATAATTGCATTCACAAATAAAAAATAAACATTTCTCATAGAAATCAATGATTCCTAGACATCTGGAAAAAAATTATCTGTTTGCTATTAATTTTAAAATTAGCATTATTTAAACTATTTTATATAATAAATGTTGCAATTAATATAGAATACATTCTTTTACTGAATTGTAATAATATGCTTAATTTGTACGTCATTTAATTGCTTGAGGTATGTTGACATCCCATGCGTGTTCTCGTGTTATATAATACAGCGCGCGTCCTCCCGGGTTAAATACAAACGCAATTATTGTCTATCCAGTTATATACCATTAAATACAAACACAATTACTTTCTATTCAGTTATATCCCATTGTGTTTCCATTAATAATTGCTTTGTATTTATAATTACACGTATATAATATAACTTCTGTGCCGTAACTGTACCTGATGCATACTTGCGATGCAACTACACATTTTTTAAAACGTTTTAAAAATTTGCGTTTATATTTATTTGTAATACCCAAGGATGTATGTATATCCTATTATTATGTTACATTTTAAACCATTTATCTGCTCTTTGTTTTCCCACTGTAAAGTTGAGCTTCACATATGTACATTTGATTGTGAAGATTTGTGCATAATCCATAATTCATTATTAATATTTGAATATATTAATTTCCCTGTTTTATCTACTGTCGATTATTATGTTAGTTATATTGTATTATAAAGATTTCAGCATTATAACTGATCTTTTTTATTATCATTACCTTACTTTACTATTAGTGGAGTATGAAAATAAATTATTTCGTAATTAGAACATTGTTAAAGATTTTGCATAAATATAAGCTTTCTCTGCTACATTTCTTGAACAATAAAATTACCTCCGATTCTTTAATTGTTCTGAAATTCTAACTAATTAAGTTCTCAAAGGGATGAAAAAAATAAAAATGGTTTTTCAATTAGATGAATTCTATGAGAATAAAAATTTAGAGATATTTTTGAAGGTCATAATCCTTGGAATGTGAACATTTAAAGAAATCTGCGTCCGTCTGCCAGTTAACAATGAAGAACAAAATATCTTAATCTTTATCAGAATCATGAATATTTCTGTTAGTAAACACTTGTAAATCTTTCCAACATACAATATTGTCTTAGATAAATATTACTTAAAATGCAAAGGCTAATGAGTTAAACTAAGAAGGGAATGTATCAACGATCAAAACCCATATTTGAAACTGTTATGTCGTACATTAAATTATAACTATTAATTTCTAAGTAAAACTTAAATTTTTATTTTCCGTGATAAGATAAAAGTACCAAAGTTCAACAATTTTTATGTAACATTATAAAGAGACACATAGAAACAAACACTCTAAGTTTTACAAAACAGTGAGAATATTTACAGAGACAGAAATGAGTTTTATAATCGAAAACAAAAATTAAATAACGTGGTCTGTTTCTCGGAATTGAACACTGGATCACTGATGTCTTTGTAGAGACACTAGGTTATTTAGAAGCAGGTGTGTGTTGGTGTTGAGTTATGGCAAAGCACACGAGGGCTATCTGCTTAAGGGGAGGGATGCTTTCGTGGAGGACTTTCTAAGGGAAACTGGCTCGTATACACATTACACATGGGGAAAGCCACGAAAACGCCCATGCAGCCAGCACGTTCGCGGGATTCGAACCTCGGACCGAACTACCAGTGTTCAGCGACTTTACCGCTCGGCCGCTGGTGGGCCTTATTAGAAGCAGGAGATGTGTAAAATGAGCAAAGTCCTCGTGGGACTCGAACCTCGGACCTCTGGAATACGCGCCGAATGTCCTGACCATTACACCACGAAGGTATGCTAAGAAGGCTGAAGAAATAAATACCTTTACCTTGAGCTATATTTTTATAGTTGAATGGAATGCCATTAATTGCACACACTCGCTCCCAAATGAACTTTTGTGAATGCTAGGGGGACGACTCTTTAACCACTAACCCAAGTCAATGGCGAATCACCTACTAGTGGTTTTAATTCAAGTGAAGATCAAAATGAACTCGAGACATACAAGTACTTAGAAAATAAGCACACAGTTTTAATACCTCAAAGGCAGAAAAAACTATTTACGATTATGAAATACAACTTTATCCTTACATTTATAAAAAAAAAAGACATCAGAGCAAGATGCAAACCGTTTTACAAGTTTTATAATTTTTTCTATACCAGAACAATCTAGAAGGCGGTAATGGTTTGCGTGCATTTGATGTAGCAGGATCACATATGCATGCATATGCTATCTGTAGCATGTTTTTAAGTGTAGCGCACCCATCGGGAAAGCATTTAAATGGACATTTGGGCAGAGCAAGAGAACTCTAGTGTACAAATATCGCTTTTCTGAATTGCCATACATTTTAAGTAAGTTAGAAATGATCCACATACTGTCACAAAATATGTCAGTTTGACAATCTGAGATATTTTGAGAAAATCCACGGTGACAAGATAATGCACTTTGCTTCCTTCATCTACCTCAAACAGCACATTCTTTTTGTACAACTTCGAAGATGTTGCTCACGAGATCAACGACATCCTTATGACAGGCCCCTGAGGCCACTTAATTTCTCAAATATATTCACTCATGCGCTAAAATATCATCACCAAGACATTTTCGCTACGTTCCGACGTTCATACATGGGAAGTCATAAGGATTTGCGTCCTAATTACCAAATCCTCAAGATATTCCGAAATATCTTCTTAACACATTTTCCACTAATGCCACTTTCCAGTATATCTGCAAAATGTTGTCTTTAAATCGCATCAACTGTGTACGGAATGTTAACAGGACTTACCACACCTTCAAGACATTTCGAAATCTCTCCATCGCAGCGTCTTGAGTGTATAATGTTAAATCCAGTATATTTTCAAGATATCCTCAGAAAAATTTAGAAAAAATTAAGTATCTAGAAGAATAAACATCTTCAGATTGTATGACGATAGAAACATTTTGGAAAATATGGCTATATACTCGACAAGGGTTGGTGTGTTGGTGTATTTAGTTATGGCAAAGCACACTAGGGCTATCTGCCTAAGGGGAGGAATGCCTTCGTGGAGTACTTTCTAAGGGAAACTGGCTCATATACACGTTACACATGGGAAAATCCACGAAAACACCCATGCAGCCAGCCCGTTCGCGGGATTCGAACTTCGGACCGAACTACCAGTGTTCAGCGACTTTACCGCTCGGCCGCTGGTGGGCCACTCTCGACAAGGGAGATCACAACATTGGGGAAAAAACAACATTAAAATATATCGCACATCCTGGGACATAAGCAACTTAAATAACATCCACACCCTCAGTGTATCTTCAGTATGTTCCGGGATATTGGAACTAAGTAGGATATCCTGAGACTATCTTGCGTGGGAAGCTGAGTTTGAAATTTCGTGCTACTTGAATTAGTTAAAGGGAAGCAGATTTTCTTTCAGACTGGAGACTGAGCTGCCAGTTTAAAGGATGATTAGGAGCATTGAAATCAGAAACTGCATTTTTTGCCCGAATATGGGTAAATCCTTTTTCCTGAAACTTACATAAGACAACATTCAGTTCAGATGGAATAGCATGAGCATGGTTTATAACACGGAACTAGCTTGCAGAATATCATATTATAGAGGTTTTACTTTTATAGCATTTTGATTTTGATAACACTAAATAAAGATATGAAAACATTTAATTGTTTTTTTTTCTGATTTCAGAATATAAATTGTAAAATTTCTTGATAATTATCAACCGATCTTCTTGATAATCGATCGAAATTCTTGATAATTATCAACCGATCTTCTTGATAATCGATCGAAATTCTTGATAATTATCAACCGATCTTCTTGATAATCGATCGAAATTCTTGATAATTATCAACCGATCTTCATTTTAGATACAAAGCCAAACTCATTTTATTAGACACACAGATAAAATAAACTTACTGCAATCAGATTCATCTGAGTAATCTCCACAGTCATTTTCCCCGTCACACCACCAAGACGTGATAATGCACTTGCCGCTGTTACACATGAACATAGCTCTAGAGCATAATGCAGCATCTGAGAGGAAGAAAAGGAAAATTACATAAGTACTACCTAATATGACACATTCATAAATATTTAAACTCTCTCGTATTTTGAATTAAAATTTGTTAATTGTACAATTGAAATTTAATCCAGAAATATATATAAATCAGGGAAGACATAACTACCGTTCTAACTATTAAAGACAAAATAGTATTCTGAAATTTAATTATTATATTACAAATGTTAATTTTATTACCTTATTGCATTTTACACACATTTTATTTAATTTATAAAAATGCAATTTTTACCATATTTTAGTTCTGAATAGAAATATCTCTTGATAGGAGTACGTTAATTAAAGAAAATAATTTTTATTACTGCACAGCAGGCGTCTGGTTTCTTTACTTCAAATTGTATTATAAGGGTAGCTAAACTAATAAGTGCATTTCACGCTCATCATGTTCCTTTCTTGATGTTTCAAGGAAATCCGTTTTAGTTTAGAAGACATTTTTATATCAGGTTATCTACAGTGTCTGATAAGTAAGGTCTGCAATCCTATAAAAAGTTTGCAATAGAGAAAATTGATAATAGCGGTTAAAAATTAGGAAAATTTATTTCCCTGAAACACATTTTCATCAACCAGGCAAACATTTGTCCCCTTTTAAATTCCAATTTCTGTCCTATCATTCTCAGAGTTACCTCCGATACCTTTGAAACTTATAACTCCGCTTTTGTTGATAAATTAGAAATCGTTTAAGTTTTCCAATCAAATTCGCTACGTTTGAAATTTGGATTGCTGATTTAGTCGAGTATTTGTTATTTTGCCCTATCTCACTCATCTGATGTAATCAGACATAAATTTTATCGTGGTCCACAAATTTTATTTTTGCATGTAACCCAAGACTACGGCTGTTGTTGACGTGGTTCTTGAGCACCATGCAAGTGACGAACAGCTTTGACTAGTTCTGGCCCATATTTGATGGAAAAAGTCCTGGAAACGGGTCCGAGGGTCTTCCACCCCTCTTCCCTTACCCCTCATCACTCGAAAGGACCAAGGATTTAAGTTTTATTGTCCAGTCTTTATATAATAATGGAAGTATTTTATAATTTACGCTGTGCAAAGTATTGATGCTCGAACAGCATGCAAATTACTGGTAAGGAAGAGAGGCACATATATTCTAAATAGCTGAGGAAAATTGAATATCAGAAATTCCTTAATCTACTGTGCAGTAAAGCAAGGTAAATATGAAATAGGCACATTACACAGCAAAGTGTTTTCCTGTGCGTTAGTTACTGCACATTTTTTGTAACCCATTTGTAGTCTGTTTTCAACCTATTAAACAAAAGGCCTTTTTTAATGTATTGTAAAATTGGCAATGCGGCTTTAATAAAAATAACTTTGAAAGTTTACAACAGGAAATGTCACGGCTTTAAAGTTAATAATAATTTTAAATAATATTTCAAAAAAAGGAAGAGAGATTTCGAAGCGCATGAAAAGTCAGAAAAGGATGAAACAGCCTTAGTTCTAAATAGTAACATAGATATTTAAATATGCCATTTTTAAACATCAGAACGAGGAATCAATTACGAATATATGGGCTAAGTCACCATTATTAAATATTACTTAGAAAATTAAGTTATATAAAGTGTTAATGAAGGTTATATTTTATGCAAAATCCCTTTAAATGGAAATACTCCCTGCCCAAACTATTCATTTTAATTCTAAAGATAATTTAGTAATAAGTTAATGGAAAATCTCGTTGTTAAGCATTTATGATCTCATTAACGAAATATAAATACGTTTAGGCAATTTTAGATGAAAGGGAGTATATTTCAGATAACGCAAATATATGCTTATCTTTGCTCACTAAAAGGAAATGAGTAAAATATCGGCATTTTAAAGTTTTATTAATAATTACTCTTTAGCATTGTTTACATTGAGTCTTGTCCAAAATACCAAATTTTAAGCTATTTATGTTGAAATGAAAGATTTATCACGGGAAAATTATATATTGAAATTACAGCGGCATTTGAATTTATATGTTACTTTAAATATTATCAAATAATAAAATTATTAATACAATTAGAATAAAAAGGTATTTAAAAACAGCCTTTCTTTAGAATTTCTGATATACATTCTTGTGCGCTAGAAGTAAAATTTTATTTTTTCCGAACAGTTGCATTTATTCTTTGAAATCATACAGTTTATTAACGAAAATTCATTAAAGTTTTACAGTTTAAATATGAAATACACAATAAAATCACTTCGAAATTCAAAATTCCGGCTTCCAGGTGTCTATATTCGATTGGAGGACTTTTATTCACAGTTTGATGGCTCTAGGTACCATTGTATTTCACAATGCGGAAAACATACATACATGCATGCATACAAATTCTTCATTATTTAATTTCTTGAAACGTAACACAGAATGATAATATTTGGTGGTAACAATTTGAAAAGTGATTCAAAACAAAATCTCGATTCGAGACTAATAGCCTTTCTGAGCTAACGCTCTTTCGTGCTAAAAGATTCCTCTATCTCGTATTATATTCTTAGCGATATTTCTGCTTGACGTAATTTATTTATTATTGTTAGTTTTAAAATGTGTAAAGTCTATTATATTTCATAAAACAATATGGCGTTGAGAAACATTTCAGATCATATCCCAACATATAGAAGAACCCAACTTTTTGTATGGTTCGTATAGAATAAACTTTCCAGTTAATAAAAACATATTAAGTTTAGTAAGGTATGTAAACTTAGCTGTACTTAGGTATGCAAAATTCGCATAGATATATACAATTAATGATTTCATGCTACCAGCTACAGCAAATCTATACCATATATACTCTCTCTTTTAAAGGGCGATTCGCGATGGAGGCACTCAGTCGCCATATCTTAGTAGTGACAAATTATCGTTCACCACCTTTTAGTTCGGGCGCCCCTTGTAGAGTGTTGCAGAATTTTTCGATGTCAGGAAACTGAAGAAATCCAAAATGCCTTCCCTGGGATTCGAACTTCGGACCTCTCGATGACACGTCAGACGGTTTCCAGTGATACCTCGAAGGCACGCGGAAAGGCGCGTTTAATTACCTCACACAACTCATTTGGCTCTAATAAGCTATATAAACCTTTCTGTACCTAAACATGTTAAATTCCTATAGATATGTGTAATTAATGAGCTTCAGAAACTAATCCAATTTGTTTACATGGTTCTAATAAAGAAGTTTTTCCAGTTGGTAAAATCTTATTAAGCTTCAATAAGCTTTATTAACCTTTCTGTATATTTAGGCATACAAAATTTACATAGACATATGTAATTAATGGTTTCATGCTACCTGCTACAATTTGAAAATGAGCCCTATTTTAAGACACAATAACACGCCGAACAAATACTAATTCAGAAGTCAAACAACAAAAATCAGCGTTATATTTTCAAATTTTCACAGGACTAGTTTCGATGTTTTTACCGAACCACCATCGTCAGCGCAAGTGATGACGCCGATTTTGCAGCTGAAGATGGTGGTTCGGTAAAACCATCGAAACTAGTCCTGTGAAAATTTGAAAATATAACGTTGATTTTTTTTGTTTGACTTCTGAATGAGCCCTATCTTGTTACAGAAATTTTTTCCTAATTCCTCCCTCAATCTCTCGACAGATCTGATATTATATTGGGTAACAGCAATCTTCTTATTTAATTAGTCGTTTTCTTATTCATTTATTTGAAATAACCTAATACTTTGTTGTAACGCATTCGTCGGGAGTAGCTGAACCCATTGTTTCCAAGAATGTATCAAGTGGGGCAACCGATATTACATCTGCAAAGAAGGAAAACGAAAGCAGCATAACTATGAACAAGCGGTACTGGGAATTGAATCCATCCTTGTTTTAGAAATATGGATCAGCTTTCACTATAAAACTATTTAGGAAGGCGCAGAAATGTCCTCTACGTCAATAACTTTAGGGCTACATAAAAGTTATATTTCATATTTATAAAGCCCTCCCTCGTGAAATTTAGTAATTCGAAGCACATATCTTGGACCATTACTTAAAGAAACAAAGCCTTTTCGAATCCGCCTTTTTCGAATATCTTACATAACGTTGCATTTACATTTTTTCGACAAGTGAACTTGATACTGAAAGCTGGCTTTGGATTTCTACAGTTACCAATCTTCGAAAACTGGCAATTACTAAAACCAGTTTGACGATTGTAAATTTCAAAAGGTAGTTTTGATAATATGTTACTCTATATAACAGTTAATGGTTGGTAACTTTTAACTGGTAATTTCAAATAATAGGTAATAACTTTAAAACTGGTAACGTCTTATTGTAAATAATAGATAACAAATAATTGGTAACTTTCAAAGGCAATAAGGTTATGGTTCTTAATCTTTCGCGTAAACTGGCATTTCTTGTAAATTTGTAAGATATTTTATTCCTCCTTATCGCGTGCTTCATGGTGTAATTGGGAAGCACGTCTGGCTAGCGAATAGAAGGTCCGGAGTTCGAACTCCGGTAAGCACATCGTTGTACTTTTTCCGGCGTCACAAAGAAAATTCCAAAGGACTCTATAAATTGTATTGTTTCTAATGATTATACAAACGAGAACACTTGTTTGATTGCACATGAGCATTTACATTATTCATTTCTGCATTTAATGCTAAACAATAAATGTACCACAGACTATTTCACCTTGAAATACGCTTGTAGGACAGTGATTAAGTGCATGAATATCCCAGATTATCTTTAAAAGTAATTACTTCCCTTTCTCAGGAAGAAAGATTAGGAAACAACAGAAAAGTCATTAAGAGATTCAATCAACTCGGAAGTGAGTTTGAAAAAAAATCCCATCAGCGATATCTGCTTACATGGGGAAGGGGAACTAAGTAACAAATTCCATTACATTTGCTTTGAGGAATCATTCTTACATCGCTTAAGTGCCCAGCTCATAAATGTCTTATGAGTTATCGTAATGTGATACTAGAAAGAACCCTTTGATTGATTTTAATCCTTCGTGTCAGAAAAATTAGCT